ACGTGTTACTGAGCATATTATTGTTAACAATTTCTGCATTCTATGGCAACAAGTGTAATAATAAAAGTATGAAGACAATACTACTTTCATTTCGACCCCAAAATTCCTCAAGCTCTTCAACCTATTAATAGCCATCATTTCTCAACAAATTTTAGCGCCATATTTGGTACATTTTTATGTATCTTAAAATGGAGGGGTAGTCACCTGCGTACACACAGGAATGGAGTCCAAAGTGACAATAACAACACATGCTAAAAACGCAAAGGCTTATGGGTAGATGCTTGTTTGTAAGCAATGACACGCTATGACCATCTTCTGCAGCTGACGACTCCCTCGCTTTAACTTTAGACCAAGCAAACATAAACAGAAAACATTGTGCATTTTTTTTTATGAAAAAATTACAGAAAATCACTTTGGTGTTCAAAGGTTAAACATATACATGAATGTCTGCATCAGTTGATAGGCATGTGATTTGCATATATAATTGATTATAGGATGTCAGGACAAAAATAAAATAAACAATGATAATGGATTATATATATTTTTGGCCATTTTAAAAAATTTTTAAATTCATTTTTTTTAACTGAATTTATTTTACAGATACAATATTTTCATAAAGTATTTTAAAATTGTTCATCTATTATTCCTCAATCATATGTTTTCTAGCTATCATCATCTGATTTCAATTCAACCAACTTGCTGTTTCTTTTCAAATATAAGAAACTAAAAAATTTACAACTTTCATTGTTGTATTTCCATGTTCTGAACTATTTCTTTTTTTAATTCACCTCCAGTTCTATTTTTAATTCTAAAAATCATATTACTGCTGACTAGAAAACCACTCAAATAATTTTAATTGTCCATAATAAAATTTCAGCCACTTCCAAAAATAATAATTAATAATAGTGCAATTAATTCAAGGGTTACCGGTACAGCATATTAATAAAAAATAAAATAAAATTCAAATTTAATTAAATTTAATTAAATCAATTGTATAAATGAGATTATAATGATGAAACAGTCTAGAACAAATGTTTTTTTTGTGTGTGTGTGTGGGGGGGGGGGGGTAAAAAAATGAAAAAGAAAAAATTTCACACATATTTCTTGCTGCAACCATGA